AAATGAAGCTGAGAACAAGCTGATACAGTTTCTTATGGGATTGAATGACAGTTATGATCATCTGAAAAATCAGATTATGCTGTATGATCCACTACCAAGTGTTAGCAAAGCTTTCTCTATGGTATTGACTATAGAAAGGCAAAGGTCTGTCCATAATAGCTATGATAAGATTGATAATGTGGCTATGAATGTGAGGTCAGGTGGCTATGGAAGGGGACAGATCAATCAAGGTAGAGGATATGTAGGAAGAGGAGGATCTTGGCAAAGTGGTAGAGGAAGAGGTATGGAGAGAATGAGTAAAGAAGAAAAGGCTAAGCTCTTGTGTGACCACTGTAGGATGAATGGCCACACAATAAGTACTTGTTTTAAGATACATGGAGTACTAGAGTGGTATAAAGAGTTCAAGGACCAACAAACCAAAACTTATGCACACAATGTTGAGGTCCACGATTTTGATGAGAAATGGCAAGAGGGAATGAGTGATAAGAAATCTAATCAAGGCAGTGAGTTATCACAAGTGGTCAAACAACTCAACTCACTCAATACATTAAATCAAAGGAGTCAATGGAGAACAAAGTGGACTATGTGAGTTTTGCAAAAGAAAAAAAGGAGGATGAAATTCATTTTACACTTACAGCAGTTGACAATGTTATAAAGATTGGATCATAGACACAGGTGCCAGCAGGCACATGTGTGGGGACATAGCACAAATGAAGGATCTTGTTAATTTGAAAGAGCCGGTGACAGTCTATTTACCAGATGGTTCTACAAAAAGAGTTGTGACTGGGGGAATGGTATACATAAATGACAGATTAACACTGGAAAATGTCCTTTTTGTTCTAGAATTCAAGTATAACCTACTGTCAGTTAATCAACTATGTCTTGACAAGAAGGTGTGCTGCTCTTTCTCATCAACATTTTGTTATCTGAAACTCTGTTATAATGGAGACTTGATAGGAAAAGGAGCATCAGTTAGGAACTTATACATATTCAGAAAGATGCATGAGGATAAAAAGGTGATGTGAAATTTGTCTTTAGAACTTTGGCATCAGTGTCTTGGACATGCAAGTATCTCTACACTCAAACACTTGCCCTTTCTTAAGGGCCAATACTCAGTCTCTGATGAGAGAATATCCAGTCCTGTGAGATTTGTTTTAAGGCTAAACATCATAGACTACCATTTGCTCACAGCTCTATCCATGCAGTCAAAAGTTTTGAGATGCTTCATGTGGATATATGAGGTCCTTGCAAGGATGAGGCTATCACTGGAACTTCTTTTTTTTCTCACCATTGTGGATGACTACAGTAGAGCTGTATGGGTCTATTTGATGGCACATAAGGGACAAGCAGCAAAACTACTGAGTGATTTTATCAAGATGATGGAAACTCAATTTGACACTGTGTTAAGAAAGTGAGATCTGATAATGGTGTTGTGGAAAGAAAGCATAGGCAATTGCTGGAGATAGGGAGAGCACTGATGTTTCAAACTAAGCTACCAATCTCTTTTGGCCTTATTCAGTTTTGACAGCAACCTTTATTATCAACAGGCTGCCTAGTGCATTGCTCAACTGGATATCTCTTTTTGAGAAGGTGTATGGGAAGGCACCTGACTATACAAGACTCAAGCCATTTGGATGCCTGGCCTATGCAGCCAAAGTTAGTCCACTCAGATCAAAGTTTGAATACAGAGGTCACAAATGTATTTTCTTGGGATTGGGACCTGGAAAGAAGGGATATCAATTGTATGATATGGATAGTGGAGACTGTTTCTTAGAAAGAGATGTGGTTTTCTTTGAAGATACATTGGAGTCACAACCAAAAGAAGTGGTTCTCCCTCGAGTTATGGAGATTGACAGTCCATCTGAAGTGGACATTCCTTCAACCTCTGAGACTACCATGGCACCTGATGGCCTAAGGAAAGAACTAAGAAAAGGCAGACACCTACATGGCAAAGTGATTATATTTGTGGTGAATCACACACTGTTCAGTCTTCAAAAGGAGTATACCCCATTTACACCTATCCATACACATTACCCTCAGAGATTTCCTTAGACACAAGGGAGTTTTTGGCTAATGTCTCAGTTGAGAGGGAACCATCACACTATAAAGAGGCTGTGTTGCACCCATCTTGGGTTGAAGCCATGCAGAGAGAGATAGAGGCACTTGAAGACAATCATACATGGGAACTTACTCAGCTGCCTAAGGGAAAGAAGCAATAGGTTGTAAATGGGTGTACAAGATCAAAAGAAAAGCAGATGGGTCAGTTGAAAGATACAAAGCAAGACTTGTAGCCAAAGGCTATAACCAAGTTAAAGGGGTCAACTATTTTGATGTTTTCTCTCCAGTTGCAAGGTTGGTGACAATAAGGTTCTTTATTGCTACTTCTATCCACAGAAAATGGAGTTTGCATCAACTTGATATGAACAATGCCTTTTTGCATGGGCATTTGAGTGAAGAGGTGTTTATGGTACCACCACAGGGTTATGATAAAGCCTTACCAGGTCAGGTCTGCAGACCTATAAAGAGCCTTTATGACCTTAAGCAAGCCTCAAGGGAGTGGAACCAAGAACTGTGCAGGAAGTTATCTCAGTTTGGTCTAATTCAGTCTTCCTATGATCATTGCTTATTCACCATTACCAAGGGTACAACCTTTCTTGCCCTTTTGGTTTATGTAGATGATGTTTTGGTGACAAGCTCTCACACTCAATTGATTCAAGACTTGAAGTTCTTCTTAGATAAACAGTTTACCATTAAGGATTTGGGAGTTGCCAAGTTCTTTCTTGGAGTTGAGCTCTATTATTCAGCTGCAGGTGTCTCTTTATCCCAGAGAAAGTATATACTTGACATCCTTGGTGATTTAAACATGCTAGGATGTGATCCTGCACTCACACCCTTACCTTTGGGGGTTAAGTTGGAAATGCACAATGGTACTGCCATGGAACAACCTGAGATCTTCAGAAGGTTAATTGGAAGGCTCTTATATCTTGGTCTCACTAGACCAGATGTTACCTATGTTGTTCAACAGCTTAGTCAGTTTGTCACTGACCCTCATGACTCTCACTGGAATTCAGCCTTGCATATTCTCAGATATTTGAAAGGGTCACCATCTCTAGGTCTCTTCTATCCTGTGCACTCTGATGCTTTCACTCTCAAAGCTTATTGTGATGCTGATTGGGCCACCTGCAAAGATTCTAGGAGATCTATCACTGGCTTTTGTGTGTTTCTTGGTGATTCTCTCATTTCTTGGAAGAGCAAGAAACAAAATACAGTTTCTAAATCCTCTGCTGAAGCCGAGTATAGGGTCATGGGCTCCACTGTTTCAGAACTTGTGTGGCTATCCTACCTTGCTCAGGAGTTTCACTTGTCTCTTCACTTTTCAATACCTCTTTGGTGTGATAATCGGGCAGCCATGCATATTACAACCAACCCTGTTTTCCACGAGCGCACAAAGCATCTTGAGATTGATTGTCACATTGTGCGTGACAAGTTCAAGCAAGGCTTTATTGTCCCTCATTATGTCTCTTCACTGTGCCAACTTGCGAATATTTTCACCAAAATTCTCACCGGGCAGCGCTTTACCACCATGGTTGCCAAGTTGGGCATGCTTCCTGCTTGTCCTGGCCCAACTTGAGGGGCGATTGTTGAGATGGTGATACAGATGGTGTATTTTGGAAGTTAAGCCATGCAGATTTGCAGATTTCTTTGTTGCTCATCGTTGTTGTTTTCTTTTTTTCGTTTTAACTACTAATACGTTGTTGCACTTCTTTTTATTTTTGCTGCGTTTTTATTAGTTAATACGGTGTCATTTTAGGCTAGTAAAAACGACACCGTTTTGCATCTTCTCTTTTGTCTGTTTGCATGAACAGATATAATAGACCGGTCCGTTTTTGCTTTTTGATTTTGTTGAAATAAAAATATGTTGAGCTAAGTGATTTGTACTCTGAAATTTTTGTTCTTTCAATCATTCACAAAAAATGGAGAATCTCTCGATTCAACATTTTTTGATGTGTGCATAAAGTTAAAATCATATTTGTTACACAATTGATTTTCAGGTATAGTAATATTAAATCCGTTGCTACGTGGGTTTAGTAAAATAAAATAAATGAAAATTTAAACTAAACGAAAGAAACAGCTTTCCTGATGCTATTACTTCCCCTCTTCTCTAATTGAAACACTGATTCACTAAAAATAAAATGGAAGTTAAAATTTGCTGGAACAATATATATGAAATTTTCAGCAGGTAACGGGTTCACGATGATTTGAAAAGGGTAATCGTTTTCGATTTGGCACTTATCAAACACAATCGGTGAGGTTGGAGAGCATTTTAAACTTCAATCGCGCCAAGAGAACTACTTCGCCAAAAGCTTCCAATCTGCATCCACCAGAAATTAAAATCAGTAATAAAACAATTTGCAAAATGCATTTTACCCAGCCCAGAGAGAGAGAGAGAGAGAGAGAGAGAGAGAGAGAGAGAGAGAGAGAGAGAGATGCAAACACAGACATTAATTTTAAGGCCATATATGTAATTTTCTTTTCGAAGCTAGGCAAACTCAGAAGTTGTCTTGCGAGTACCACACTTAAAGAAGTTAAAAAAGACATCTGCTCGGATAAGATAATTAAAGCACATCAATCACAAATCGGACAGCAATAAGTCTTTTCACCGACACACGCATACCTGCAAATTCAGGGATAAGTGTTTAAAGTCGCTTTGATCTCCAATCAACTTTTATGTCGTCATCCTCGTCATCGCTCGAAGATGCTTCACGGCTAGGAATTTTACTCGTCACTTCTGCATCTTTAACAGCCGCAGAAGATTTGGAAGCCTTAAATTCCAGTTTCTTCCTTCTTAACATTTCCACTCTCTCTATATATGCCCTGTAAAAGGGAACAAGAAGAATAAAACAACAGAAAGAATGCTCAAGAAGACTGAGATTTAAGCAAAAAGAAGAAAAAAATTCAGATTAAATATTTATGAAAATTACCTCTGTTCGACAGTCTCCTCCTCTTCGATCACCTCAGCCGCAACAAACTGCAAATTAAGACCAGTGGTATGTCAGTGATACAGTCGTATTTTAGTGTGCAAAACCACAAGCTAGGCTCATTCTGTTTATCATATAAAGATCAATGAGGAGTTGTCTCACCTCTTCTTCCTCCAACCGGTTATCCACCTCTTGTAAATCCTCTTGGATTAACTTTTCAAATTCCTTATATTCATCCCTGAAAAAAAAAAAAAAAAAATAAATAATGTGAATAGAGCGCCTTAGAAAAGTTATTGGTTCTACTCATAAGCCAGACGCTTCCATCATTTGAAAAATGATTGTACAGAGGTAAGGTGGCAATGTAACAATTGACATTTAGTTATTAACCAACAGAGGGACAGACCCAACAAAAATCAAGAATCAGTAAGGCAAAACGTTAAATATAATTGTAACTGATTCAACTACTTTAAAAAACAGACCGGCAATAAAACAGTAAAGTAAAAAATAAAAAGAAAGAGAAATGAATATGCTCACTTGGCATCTGGCTTCACGGGTTTTATGCCACGCGCACGCAAATCAGCATCTTTGTCATCAAAAAAACCTGCAGGCAGTGCCCCTTTAACTTCCTTAGCCACCACATTAGATGTACTTGGCAATGGCGTTGGATCCATTGAAGTCTGTATGTGAGGATTTCTAGTCTCCACAGATGGGGCAGTGAATGATATGTAATTGGCACTCCCTGGGACTTGAATCTTTGCAGAAACAGAATCCTTCTTGTGTGTATTAAGGTCCCGGTGATGACTTGTATCCCTCTCTAGATAAAGGGAAACTCAGAGATAATTTATGCCCGAATAAAAGAATGAAGCCAAAAAGACAAACTTTGAATGCATTTGGTCACCATTTCACATAGAAACACTTTTCTAATTGAAATATCTTTACATTTCATAAAAAATATATATAAGTACTTACCCTATTCACTCACTTTCACCTTTTCCGTTACCACCAATTCAACTCATTGTTTAAACAAAATCAGCTAATCACTAATTCATTATACACAGCTTCCTTACCTATTCATTGAGATAGAAGAGAGGATCATTCCTCTCAATAGCTGCTGAGGGAGTCCACTCACAGTTCAAGAATTCTTCATCATTATTCAAATAAATTCTCATAACTATTCTTTAGCTGATTATTTTTTTATTTTTTGCAAAACATAAGTATAAATTATTGCATGATTAGCATCTAGATTACAACAGCAACATAGAGCGTATGTAATTAATAGTTATAGTAATCCAGATTTGAGATGTATCCAAAAGAAACTATTTGGATAACCACGAGTTAGATTACAGCATTGCAACAATACCAGTGGATTAAAGCCCGCCGATGTATTGGGTCATACGGATTTCACTAAGGCCTAAACGACAAGGTTTGACCTGGGGCATAATGTTATAAATACCTGATTATCTTCTTTGATTTGTTCGATAGATCACCAGATCAAAATCACACATATAAAAATCACACAAATACTCTTTCACTTCGCCATTGAAATTTCCTAGTTTCTTCACCGGAAAGGACTCATTTCTGTTGGGTCATGCACCGAGAAGTTGAATTGGTGGATACTATAATAGATAACAAAGCTGATAAACAATGGTAAGGTTTCTGTTTATTATTAGCGCAACCTTTGGTCATATTGAATAGCTATAAGTCTATAACTATATCTCCATTTTTGGGAAGACAAATTGTAAAACCATGTGCGTGTGTTCTAGGTTCGCACCTCTAAATTCCAACAGAAACTACAGTGACTTCACAAAGGAGCAATCAGTCTGATATGCACTGATCCTATTGCCTTCAGCTTTTAGTAAATGTACTTCTTTTGCACGAACCTCTGCTTTCGTCATCACTGGTGAACATGATATTTTATAGATAAACCACTAACAACCTAACAAACCAAACTTCAGGGTTATTATACTGACACTTCCATGCCAATAAAAAGTGAAGTGTCCCCCCCCCTCCCAAACAAACAAAAAGGTTTCTCAACTCCATCAATCCACTTCGCCTCAAGGACCTTCGGTACAAGTTCTGGTTCCTCAAATTTTTTGGTCTTTCCATATATAAGATACTAAACACTGATAAATGCCAAACAAAACTAACTAGCACCCAACAAAAATATTTCAAAAATTAATGTCGAAGAGCCTAAAGGAATCAAAACGCAGGAGTCGAACTGCAATGGAGCTAGCATTTAGACTATTATAATTCAGAAATAGGAACCTACTTCATGATTCACAGTTAAGATCACATAATGTCAACAAAATCCTTAAAAAAATATTAGAAATCCATACAGCTAAACTGATAAGTCAGGAAATGACCTTGCCTACAATTTAAAACAGAAACATAACTTTAAATTGAAAGTCCCATAACAGCTCACTGCTCATACCATTTTTTTGCCTCTTCTTGTCAGGATTATCGAAAAAATCTTGAGGCAGAGTAGATGATTGATGTGCACGCACTGCAGGTAAAGGTTCAGGTTTTTCAATCAAGTCCCTGGAGGATTCAAGCTTAGCCTTTGGAAACTGTTTAGCAGATTCACACTTTGAAACCGTCGGACGATTTTGAGCAGCAGCAGTAGCTTTGAGTTTTTCAATAGCCTGATCAAACAAAGAGGCAACTAAGACAAAGTTTGGCTAACAATAATATTCATATAAAAGAAAGAGCAGTAAGAGACCTATTTGAAAGTTGTAATTCTTCTAAATCAGAAAGGTTGAAGGAAAACAATATATGGCTAAATGATGCAGATACATAAATAATGGCAAATAACTCCAATACTTTCTCCAGTAAGGAGTAAAACTGCAAGACAGAAAGGAGAGTAGAATTAAATTTTTTCCTTTTCCACGTTTGCATAAGAGGATTAAGAAATTCTGAGACCACGGCAAACAAACAGATATAAGAGGGGAATCGATAACAAACAGAATTAAAAGGAAAAAAATACTCAGAACTTTGACAATGGATACGTATAAACTAATATAATGCATTATACTTTGTTCATCCAAGTATTAAGGCTTTAGGTTGTCCCAATATAGGTTTCTGTGGAACAAACAGCAACAGGAGTTGATAGTATCACTTCACCACTTTAAAGTGACAGATAATTTCGGAAGAAAATAAATTCCCAATCAAGAAATTGAATCTTATTGCGTGACAGAAGGAGCATGTATGTCACCATATTGGTAGTTATATTCAAGAATACACACACATGAGTTTTGCTCATTAAGGCGACAATCTAGTACCAGATAGCATGTTCGCAATCCTATATCTTACATGCAGTTTCAAAAAAATAAAACCCATAGAACCCTCCTTATTGACAAATGAACAAGCGTATTATCACATATACCATGAGATCCCCTATAATTCCTAGTCACATAATTGATATAAAGACATTAAATGTAACAAAACATTTTACCTCATGATGTTTGCGAGAAACTTGGTGAGCAGGCCAATTTGACTCGGATTTGATGACAACATCGCAAACTCTACATACAGGTTGATCGTGTTCGTTATACCTACATTTACAATTTGGAAAGGAATTTAGCTTGTTTGGCAAAGAAATGAAGGAATATGCAACTAGAAGTCCCCAACCATTAAAAAAAAACCTATAAAATACATATAGACCTAGCCTATGATAATTCCACACTTGAATTGCACAACAGAACCTATAGTTCCATCAAAACTTTCAAGGTCAATAATTCCGTAATCCATAGTCTACTCACAACAAGTTATATACAAAATCATATCTCACTCGATATAAATCGGATTTTTGAAATTACAAAGCCCAGAGAAAGCTAACAGAAAGAACTACATTTCATATGAAGAACTCAACTTCAGATAACAGGTTTCTGAGGGCCTTATCTGAGGCACAACAGATATGTGTGAGATAATGAGGTTATATGGTGTTGGTTTGATGTAATGAGTTGCTTATAGCATGGGGAAAATCATTGATAAAGGTTCATTGAGATTTCACGATTTATCGTGTTTTGACATATCACACCAGATAAAATACTTCCACATTCCTAAGAACCTTAAATGATCAATATTTCACTTCATCTTTCACGCTTGCCCTTGCAGCCACATCAGATGCAGAATGACACTCGCGCGCGCACACGCACACAAACACAAACACACACACACACATGAACATATGTAAAGAATTAATACTACGCATAATCTTAACATATACAAGTAAACAAGATATGCATCCCATTGCTTTCAGGTACAAGAACAATTAACACAAAGCCCAAACTTGAAGTAGTAAACAAAATTCTAAGGCACTAGGAAATGATTTTAAGAATAGTTTCTTCAATTACGTTTCCAATGGCTAAGCCCTAGAATTACTCTAACATTGGCATCCAAAACGAATAAAATTGACAAGAAAACAGCATTTACCTTACAAGAGGAGAATCAATCCGCTGCTTTTCCTGCTTTTTTGCGTTCAATTTGGCACGAAATGCTTTTTTTTGAGCATTCATTTTCAGACAAATTTTGTATCCACCTGATAAACAATCAAACCGCAGCATCAATTTTCACATTAATTCAAGAACATTGAGTTCGTTATAAATCTCAAATTTCGCAAATCAAACAAAAACAAACATACTTACAGGATTACAGATGCAGAGCCAACAACTCTGACATACGCATAGTTTCAGAAACTGTAAATTTGTGCTAGAGCGAGCGAGCGAGCGAGGAGGAGGATATGGCCTATGGGACTTCAACTTTCTCCTTCGCTCTTACTTTATAGATTTGGGCTTCCTTAACTATAGTCCAATCTATAGGCCCCAAACTCTTATTATTTATTTATTTATTTTTTTCTAATTTACATATATAATACAATTTTCAAAACGTTTTTCATAATTATTAACCTTTAAAAAATAATTTAATTTATATAAAGTATACACTTTTTATTGTAAATTTATGCACAATTTCTTCTTTAAGTTTATATTTAATTTATTAATGGTTTAAAACAAGTTTATATAATGAGATCTAGTGACATGACAAAAAAATGTATATTCATATTGAGATGACACAATGAATAGCTCGGGGAATCGCCTTGAGTGGTTAGCTTGGGTATGAAAGGTTCTAGGGAGCTAAGCTAGTTCTCAGTACACTACCTCATTAAGGAGCTCGCTTAGGCAACTCAAGGTATAGGTCGGTTTGGTCAGAGAGCTGGGAGGTCGGAGAACTTCAGGAGCTCGGATATTCAAGGTGACCTCATGACTCGTAGGTCTTATAGGTGGACATTGTGGTTACGATCTGGGCACAACTCATGACAGGTAGGTAGTAGGATTGTAGTTACGACATCAGGACCTAAGAATCGTGTCGTAAGCAGGGGACAAAATCCTTTTTGGATGGAAAGTGTATCTTGCTAAAGAGTCTCAGATCCTACAGACGTAGTAAGTTAAGAATGTAAATACGAGATGATCTCTTTCCTAACTAGTTACCTCTTGGGATAACCAGATTCTTGTTTTACATCTCTCGCATATACGCATACTTGACCTACATATCACCATTTTTCTTTTCTAACAAAGACTAACTTAACGTCGAAGGTTTTCCATCGGAACTCTTCTCCGACGTTTTGCAGGTTATCGGAGCTCGAAGTCGGTGTTCGTCCATGTTCACTCCAGCTCAATCCGATTCGAGAAAATCTGCACATCAAAATGGCTTCGTCTGTGGGAACACTGTAGTCTTTTATCAGCTATAAGAGACTTATTAGATTTTCTCACAATAAGTTTTCAAGAAGTTCATAGATCTTGACAACTGATATTTATAAGAAAAATTAGGCTAAGGAGTTGGATGAGGCATGGACATCGTGAGCATTTGGAAATGGCCCCTAACCAGGTTGGTTGAGGTCGACAATCGTGCTTACCACGCCTCAAAAGACATTGTCAGCACCTCACACAACGGTAACCCCGGTGTCAAATGCATCTGAGACATCTCTGGCGACGCAGAGTCGATGGTCGTCCAATAGAAGATAGAGGTTTGGGAGGTACATGAGTAGGTAGTGGCTCAAGGTACTGGGGTTCAGCAGTAGGATGATCCATGGGTCAACCGACCTCAGGAACATATACAACGAAAATTATTGAATTTCAAGGAACATGAGGTTCCCATAGGAGACCAAATTATTCAGCTTACCAGACCAGAGTTAGATAGAATCGTGATCGAGGTTTTAGCCCAAGCTTGGGCTTCTGATCAGCCAAATCCCATTGGGGCCACCTATGCAGCCTCAGAGAAGACCGAAAGAGGTGGAAGTGAGGTCAACATCCATACCTACTACCATATTACAACCAACTCAGGATGCCACAATTGAAAGGTTGGCAGCCCAACTACGGGAACTGTAAGCCCAGCTGAAGATATATAACACCTTGGATCCATGGGTATTCATTTGCAGAAGCGATCATAGATTTTCCTAACAATTTTCCCGAGCTGAATTTATCGTACCCAGCTAGGCATCTAAGGTCGTTGAGAACATAGCAGTTCACCATAGGTATCATGAAATGGTTTGATGTACGGCTTTCCTCACCACAGTGAAGGGGTCGATGCAGGACTGGTTCCATCAGCTGCTGGTTGGGTTGGTCTATAGTTTTGAGAGATTCAACTCTCTGTTTATTAATCAAATTTCAAGTGCGAGGAAACATGAGAAGACCTACCTGGCGTTGATCAGTATACAGTAGGGGGGAGAGGGGAGGGAGAACTCTTTGCGAGTGCGCGGAGGTCCCATCTGCCTTTGAGAAGATCAAGGCAGATGTTCTTACCAGAGGTCTTAGGCTTTGGCCATGTTGGGACTCATTAGCAAAGATGCCAGCGAGGTCCTTGAGAGTTGTTGGACAGGTGCAACAAATACATTAACATGGAAAATGTCGAGGCTGACTTTCTGAAAAACGATAAAACAAAGGTGAAGCCAGTAGACAAGAAGCCTCTATTGGGGGTGAAAAGAGGTCTTCAAACAAGGAATCAAGGTCGGAGGAATGCGACAAGGCAAGGTACAAGTTTTGATAATACGTGTGACACGGGAATTTTCTCCCAACCTAACTCCATACCGAAGAGGAGATGGTATGTTCCCTCATGAGGTAATTTCTATTGTAAATGTCATGAGGATTATGGTTATTTGACCAAAAGTTGCAGGGAACTAAAAGACGAGATCAAACGGCTCATATAGAAGTGCATATGCCAGTTTTACCAAGAATTGTTTACTTCTGAAGGCTCTGAGGGAATTGATGAGATACTTGAGCTTATTCCAGTGACTGTTACAGTGGCTATGAATGATGAATTGGTGGCTCCTGATTTTGAAGAGGAAATTAAAGAGGCTATGTTCAATTTGGATCCAGGGAAGGCACCAGGGCAAGATGGTATGTCCCCTATCTTATTTCAATTTTTTTGGGAGGTGGTGAAATCAGATTTGTGAGGCCATTTTCAGCTTCTTTTCTTCTGGCCAATTGCTCCAAAACTGGAATCATACTTTAATTTCTTTGATTCCTAAATGTCTTAACCCTTCTGCTATTGGGAATTATAGGCCTATCAGTTTATGCGGTGTGTCCTATAAAATAATTTCTAAAATTTTGGCCTATCGGTTGAAAAATTGTCTCCAGCATTGCATTAGTCTAAACCAAAGTGCTTTTATTCCAGGCAGGCAGTTGTTAGACAATGTGATTATTGCACATGAAGCTGTTCATTATCTGAATAGGCCTAGAGTGGGAAAATGGAATCATGGCTGTTAAAGTTGATATGGAGAAGGCATATGATCTGTAACACCCCGCTCATCAGAGTAAATTTTTCGCAACTTATTTCGAAAATACTTATAAATTTTTCGAAACCTTCTTAACTCGGGATGCTACTAACTTATCTACTTCAAAAATCTGTTTACTTAAACTTCATCTAACAACTAAGTTAGACATAAATAAAACAGATTTTACACATTGAACAAATATAAAAACTTAACAGTTCATACAATCATCTTGATAAATCAACCTTTAAAATCACACTTAAAATCACACTTGTTCAAATCTTAAAGAAACGTAGCGGAAATCTTACAAGCGTGGTTTACAAACCGAAACCTTATTGAAAATTCTCAATAGAAACTTATTCACATCCACGACCACCACAGCTCCTCACACCTGCGCACCGTCTTTATTTCCTGAAAAAAAAAATGATAATAGTGGGGCGTGAGTACTAATCAACTGTACTCCGTAAAAACCCATACTAAAGTAAATAACAATAATAATATCAATATCATGATCTTTGGTATGTATCTAAGCTTAATCTTTCGGTATCTAACCGATACTTTAACTTGAACTTTGCAACTACCGGTAACTTAGGCCGGTTCTCACGTGATCACATTCTGGGTTCGCCTCCCACAGAACCCAGTCTTGACTGAGCGAGCTTAATACTTTACTTAACTTTATACATACCTCGAACATAATAATAGCTATTATACTCAATGTAATACCCAGTCTGGGTCCCCACTTTTTCTTGTTGAAAACTTTTGAAAACTGTAAGTGCTGTACTGATAGCTGTATCTGCAACTACATAAAAAATATAAACAAATATACTAAGTACTATGCTCATTATACTTACTAAAATACTCGGATACTCACATCTATCAGATAACTTATACGAATATAAAAGAATACTCTAGAGATCATACTAAGTCCGAATTTAAATTGGTATACTTAAACTAAACCGAAACTTAATCATTTTCATACTCTTCAAACTTCACATTAATTAATATAATGAGAAAAACTAAAATCATATGCTATAACTCAATTTACCTCATTTTAATCTTAACTTTAACATATGTATTCTCAACATATATATAAAGTTACCTTAAAAAATTTCACTTTAAAAAAATATTCATATCTTGAGATGTATTATTTCAAAGTTGAACTATATCAAAACATTCAATTTACTTGCATACTTGTCTTTAAAAATCTATATCTCATGCTACAATTATCTAAAAATTCTAAAACTTTATATCTTAACTCTCAACTAAATGAAGAAATATTCTGTAAATTTTCTCATAAAAATAATAACCATAAAGTGAGATATGAATTTTCAAATAATGTTTGTCTTACTGAAATTCGAGATTTACTCACTTATGTTCATTATTTTCTATAGCATCTTAAACAAGTCAAATAAATATAAAATTTAAACTGGAAGTTTTTAACTAATATATGAATTGACCATAAAATTTCCAACTCAAAATAATATCAATAGATAGGGTAATTCAATATCACAAATCATCATTACTACACAGATTTTTCACTGGACAACACCTTAATAAAAGATTTTTATAAAATTCATTTTAACTTCGACTAATCTAAAAATTTCCAGTATTATTCTCAATATAATGATTATCTTATATAAAAATTTTCATAATTTTTTGAACTCAATAGCTTGGTCAAAAACAAACAAACATAGGCTGCAACATCATGAACTTTAAATAACCTTGTTTTATATACTTATATATATAAAAATT